TTTTTTTTTTTTTTAATAATTTGCTATAGATAATTTGGATCTTTCATTCTCGAATCTGAAAAAAATATGGAATATTTATAATTATTTTCAATAAAATTAAAAACTTGTTTTGAGAAATTTAATAATAGAATTTTAATGAAATTCGATGTAATGACCCAAATTGTTTAGAAAGGGTTGAAAATTCTTTTCCTGCAATTTTAAAAAATACGAATGCATTTGAGAGCGGAATTCTGGAGAGTTTTTTTTGAGAATATTTTCCGCAAATAGACATTGCATTGAGATTAATAGTCCGACAAACAGTAACTTTCACTGTCAACGTAGCTGAAGAACAACCCTCGAGAATTTTATTCTCAAATGTATTCGTACCCTTAGTTACTAACTTCCAATTATTACACCTCAGAGTTATTATACGCCTAGAATTATTATTCTAGTAGACGATTGACTTTTCCAGAATAATTTTCATTCTCAATCTAATTTCCATTACCGAAAAACAACTTCTGAAAATTTTACTAGTCAAATTCGCGTTTTAACTCTTCAAGAGTATAACAATAAAGTAACAAATATTTAGAAAAAATCACAGAAAGTAACCTGTATAGGATTGAAAGTAAATACCTGCAATTTTAACTGTTTCGAAACATATTTTTCTTTTGGCAATGAATACAAAATCTATTATAATAGCACAAAATATAATATATTAATTAAAAATAGATTGAATCTAATTTTCAAAATGGAATTAATAATCTCACTTCTAATGGAATATGTTTCAGTAGATTTCTTCTTGTAATACAGAAGGAAAAATTGTAACAACTCCAAAATTTATGTAATAATTATTTGAGAAATAATTTTCATTAAGTTTTCATTAAGTCTTAGGAAATTTTTAATCAATCAATCAACATCAAATTATACACTTTATCTCATTGAAATTTAATTTCTATTTTTAAAATCAAATTATGATCTATAAATTGCCTAATATAACTACATACAATCTGAAAAGAAATGATTTCATCTGTTCGAAATGTTTTTGCTAAAGATTTTCACCTTTTCGATGAAATTTGCAGTGAAACTTTGTTTGTAGAAAATAAATTATCTACGTTAGTACTTCATTACGTTTAAATAAATCGGGAATCTTGATTGATATGAAACGTCCAAGTAAAAAATTGATACACGGTGCAAAGTTGTGGAAGAAAGTTTGTGTAGCCATGTGCATGACCCGTGTCTACAGAAAACTGTAACGAATTCTCGCGACTTTTCTCCACAAATCTTGCTTTTGCGTTTAGCCAACAGCTGCGACGTTAATACCGATCCTGTATTATGCATTCCTATCCTTTTCGAGAATTTATCGAGACGAAAACATATCCACCGACTA